CTACAGGGTCACGTCCCTTCCTTTCCTCAGCATCCTGCAGAGGCTGGGAGGAAGGGCCAGGGTGACAGTGGGGGTTGGATCTTGCACCTCTGGAACCTTCTGCACCACTCCTCAGCTGCCCCTGCCCAAAGGCTGATTGGGGAAGCTCTTCCTAGGAGCCCTGGGAGACCCTCAGCACCTCTGGAAGGAGTTTTGAGTGGGAATCATGAGGCTGGGTTGGCCTTTATAGACCAGGAGCCCTAAGCCTCCCTCACCAAAGCCACTGCATCCCAAAGGGTCCCTCAGACCCATTCTCTTCTCTGGAAAAAGCCCAGCTTTGGCATCTCCTGTGGGTTACACACCTAGACCCCAAGTGCCCCGAGACCAGTATGTTTTCTGAATTCCTAGTGAAATTTTGTCTTTGTTTTGACAACTTACTGAGGAGAGGGATCCCTTGAGTTCCCCAGGAAATCTGGCCTAGTGATGGATGGAAGAGAATCAGCTTCATGAATGTAATGAATGTGGGAGAGGAATCCACAGTCAGGACTTTGGGTCCCCAGACCCCAAATTCCCCAACGTGCTGTGTCACAAACCTGCCATTAGATGGCAAATAGACCCCACAGAGAGCAAAGCCTCAACATCACTGAGCAAGCAGGAGAGATCCTGTCCCAAGAGGATCCCTAAGGCTTGGGGGCTGTGTCCAGTGCCCTGTTCATGGCTGCTGGGGCTCTGTGCACAATGGGCCAAGTGTCCCCACAGTTCAGTCCCTGGATACTTGTTGAGAGCCACAGCTGAAGGGGCCCCAGCAAACTTTCAGACTGCCAGCTGATGATTGGCTCACAGCGGCCCCAGCAACTTCTAGCTGATTGGCTCCTCTGCGGTGATGCTCATTGGGCTGTTTCCCTGCCCTTTCAGACTACGGAGTCTCTCATTGGGGAACTTTTTTTGGCTCCACCCACGCGACCCAGCCAATCGGCATCAAGAGCAGGAGGAAAAGAGGAGGTGGAGAGGCTTGTGGGAAGCCGGTGGTGGCAGTTGGGCTCTGAAGGTTTTTCCTGAGGAGCTGTTTTGTTTGGCGTGTGTGGTTCTAAAAATAAAGTTCGTTTCTTTTGACAAGTGGCTCCTGAATTGTGCCCAACCAGACTGCGGCAGATACTTTCTGTGTAACTTTGTTATCTCTCTTGACCTCAACCTGACAAAAGTGACCCTCCCCTTGACACCAGTCTTAGAATCAGGGTGGGTTCTTGTTCCTCTGTGGTGGAAGATGAAGCACCTGAGAAAAGCCAGACAAATACAGAGAGCAAGTTTGACTTCAGGAACAGAACAGAGATGCTAGACTTTTCTGGAGCGACACCAGGGCCAGATCTGACATCTGCAGAAGATGGGGTATCATGGTTTTATCATAGAACTGCACCCTCTTTATTCTTGTATACATTTACCAACTCTCAATTTAGTTAATTTACCATATTATCTTTTAAAATTCAGAAAGAAAAAGAAAAGAAAAAATATATATCTTATGTAAGGAACTAAGGGCATGGAACTGCCAAATTGTATAATTTTGTAATTATAGGGTCAACTATTAGGACACAATTTGTATGGATAATATTCAATAACTGCATCTGTTTATCAGATGAAATGACAGATTTTAAATTAGCAGTTACAATTTGCTTTTATTCCATATTTTATTGGTGCATTATATTTATACACAATGGTGGGATTCATTGTTACCTATCCATTCCTGAATATGACCTAACAATTGGATATGGCCAATATGATTTCCATTATTTTCATATTTTAGTTGCCATAGTCAATATACATTTGCAAAACTATATTTATTCCTGCATAAATGTCAGGTGCTGTGATGTACATGGGTTAATTCCCATACTCCTGTGTCTGAGTCTCACCTGGTGACACCCAAATTGAAACTCATACCAATCCCACCCTGCCAAATGTTCCAACAATGCCCTACAACTGTCACACTGAGCAAACAAGCATATTATTTGATTCAAATCCTGAGAAAATACCTATAGCACTCTAGAAAATGCATAGAATCTTCCTCCTCTTAATTATGGGCAATATTAATAATGCATTATCCGAGTTTGAGGTTTCAGGTGGGGAGAGGAACTGGAGACTGCCATGTCTATTCAGGGCCTCCTGAGACTCTGGAGGTTGCTTTGGACCCTGGGGAAGGAAGTCTTCACTTGTGTCCTTGTGAGACAAAGGGCCTTTTAAATGCTCTATCCAATTCACAGGGCTCATGAGTGGAAAATGTCTGTCCCCAACATAGATCGTCTGATTTGGAGTTCAGCACCACAAAAGGTCAAAGTCTCCTGGTTGGATATGGCTTAGCTGTGGATGAAGCTTTATAACACTGGTCCACCTTGTCTTTGAATATAGCCCTTGTTGCTCTGCAATGGACATTAGTTTTTAAAAATTTCATTTATGTGTTCTAATTAGTTATATATGACAGCACAATGCTCTTCAATTCTTAGTACACAAATGGGGCACAATGTTTACTTCTCTGGTTATACACGAAGTAGAGTCACATAATTCCTGCAATAATACATGCAACCAGGATAGTGATGTTCTTCTCATTCACTATCTTTCCTACCTCCAGGCCCCCTTCCCTCCTTTCCCTCCTATTTTCCCAATCCAAAGTTCCTCCATTTATCCCATGCCTCCCCACCCCCTGCATTATGAAGCAGCATCCACTTATCTTAGAAAACATTTGGCCTTTGGTTTTTTGGGATTGGTATATTTTGCTTAGCATGATATTCTCCAACTCTATCCATTTACTTGTAAAGCCATTATTTTATTCTCTTCTAATTCCATTATGTAATATACCAAGTAATATTCCATTGTGTATATATACAATGTTTCTTTATCCATTCATCTGTTGAAGGACTTCTAGGTTGGTTCCACAGCTTAGCTATTGTGAATTGTGCTCCTATAAACATTGATTTGGCAGTGTCACTGTAGTATGCTCTTTTTAAGTCCTTTGAGCATAAACCAAGGAGTGGGATAGCTGGTTGAAATGGTGATTCCATTCCAAGATTCTAAGGAATATCTATAGTGCTTTTCAGATTGGTGACACCAATTTGCAGTACCATGAGCAATGTTAAGTGTGTGCCTTTTCTCTCACATCCTTGCCAACACATATTGTTGCTTGTATTATTGCTACCTGTCAATCTAACTGGAGTGAGATAAAATATTAGAGTAATTTCAGTTTGCATTTCTGTAATTGCTAGAGATGTTGAACATATTTTCATATATTTGTTGATCGACTGTATTTCTTCTTCTGAGATAAATTGTATTTCTTCTTCATTCCCTTAGCCCATTTAATGATTGGGTTATTATTATAATTATTATTATTATTATTATTATTATTATTATTAATTTGGTGTTCCTTTTTGAGATCTTTATATATCCTAGAGATTAGTGCTCTATCTGATGTGCATTTGTTCAAACATTGCTCCTATTCTTTAGGCTTTCTCTTCATCTCACTAATTATTTTGCTGAGAAGAAACATTTTAGTTTGAATCCATTCCATTTATTGATTCTTGATTTTATTTCTTACACTTTAGGAGTCTTGTTAAGGAAGTGGGTGTCTAATCTGACATGATGAAGATTTGGGCCTACTTTTTCTTCCATTAGGTACAGGGTCTCTGGTCTAATTCATAGGTCCTTGACCCATTTTGAGTTGAGTTTTGTGCATGGTGAGAGTTAGGGCTTGATTTCATTTCACTGCATGTGGCTTTCCATTTTTTCCAGCACCATTTGTTGAAGAGGCTATCTTGTCTCCAATGTATGTTTTTGGTGCCTTTGGCTAGTATGAGATAACTGCATTAATGTGGGTTTGACTCTGTGTCCTCTATTCTGTACCATTGGTCTAGCTTTCCTTGGGATTCTGTATCCCCACAAAGGGAGCAGATCTACTCTAAGTTGTACTTTGATACATTTTAGTCTAATAAGATTCATATTAATTTCTAAATTTGCCTATGTATGAGCTTTTGTTGATGTGTTAATGTTTTCTTAGTCCATAAAAAAGCACCAAGTCAAGTCTTTCAAGAGGACCTCCCTCTCTTCAACTCATAGCAATTCATCAAGCATCCTCACTACATCTGAAAAGTCTCTCCACTTTGGTAATATTGCTTGGGCTGGAAGCTGGTCACAGCTCCACGACCTCAAGAGGATGGTTGGTGACATTGGTGAAAAAAAGGGATCTGTACCCTGGGGCCTCTCGGGGTGTCCCCCTTAACTCTCATAGTATCAGGGCTTTGGCTCTTTCCTTCCTCTCTCTTCCAAATGGCCCCTGCACACAGCTGTCCCATGTGGGAGCTTCCCCTGGTGATGGGCCTGAACTTCACAGATCATAGCAACCACAGGATGTCCTCCTCATTCCAGCTTCTCCATCTCCTGCTGTTGCTTCCCAAGTAGGAAATGGCCAAGCTGCCCCTCTGTCAAAGTGGCAAATTTGTGGTGAATAAATGAATATTTGAATTTACAAATATAAGCCTCTAATTTTATGTTCTAGTAATTAAAAAAAAAACCTGAAATCAATTATGTACCCTTAGAAACTAGGAGAAGAAAGAGAAATCTAGAGCAAGCAGATAGAAGAAAATTATAAGATATAAAGTAGAAGATAAATGAAAGAGAACCAGAAAATCAATGACACCAAATGGTGATTTCCTGAGAAGATCAGAAACCTTGCAGACCCTTACAAAAATTCATCCAGAAAAAAGATGGAGGGCAGAGATGACCAAAGTCAGTGTCATAATTGGTCACTAATCTACAGAAATTTAAAAACATTATATGAGAATATGAAAACATGCCATTATTGTCAAATTATGCAATTTAAATGAAATACATCAACTCTCAGAAAGAGATAAATTATTAAGTGACTCAAGAATATCTAGAAAAATTGGATGGGATTATAACAAGAAAGAATTTTAAAGTTTTTAAATAAAGCAAAGCACAGAGTCAGGACATCATTGGGGATTCAATCACATATTGAAGTAGCAATGTCATCAGTATTACTCAACTGTCTGGACAAGCAAGAAGAAGACCTTCGCAACCTGTTCTATGAGGCCAATTTCACCCTAAAACCAAGCAAAATGGCCTGGCACGGAAAGGAAACTGCTAGTGTCATTTTATCACCTCCTCTTTGTCCCGAAAGTGGGACCACGGAGGATCTCCCTGGGAGAATTCCATCACCAGGGAGCCTCTGAGGCACTGCCTCCATCCTGTGGAACCTCTGGAGATACCTCCAGCCTTCCCCCTGGTTTTTGCCTATCTGCAGTGTAAGCAGGAATCGGGGTAGATTTGCTGTAAGACTGGATAAATTGTGTCACAACCTGGCCTTGATAAGACTCTTAGGTAAACGTTCTGACCCCAGTATAGTCACTCACTCTTTGATAATGAAAACATCACTTACTTAAAAACTCCTCTCCCACACTCCCAGAGGGACACATGATGCCAGCTTAACCCCTCAGGACAGGACAGGGCTCCTATTGAGGGTAAATCTGAGGCTACCTTCAGCTCATGCCCAGGGTCCTGTGACACCAACCCAGGATACAGCCTACAGAAACTGTAGCTGGGATGTGCAAAGGGCTGAGTCCTTCAGTGGGACAGAGACCCTGTTGCTCCTCACTGGGCTTTCCTCTCTGGCTGGAACCCCTGCCTGGTTTTGTGGCCACCTACCTGAGAATGAGAGATCCAGCTCATACTGGAGTTCAGCCATCTAGGAGTCCATGAGGGATGGGAAAGGCCTTGCAGCCACTATCAAGGAGGACAGAGGCAGGGTGTGGCCTAGGACACTCTGGTACACAGTCCATGTAGTCCTCCTGAGCAAGTCCTTCTCACAGAGGACACTGACCTGCTGCAGACAGGAGAAGCACAGGACAGGAGTGCTTCCTTTTTCACTAGGTCAGATGAAGCCCAGAAACACAGGAGGACTCTGGACAGGAGCTCAGGACACACTCAGGAACTGCTACCTAGGCCACCTTGCTTCTGCAGTGGGAGGACCACATGGTCTATGGACCTGCACTTCTCTACCCATCCTGCTGATTTGCATGCTTCCTCTCAGAGATCACAGAATTGTGAGCCAATTTAAGGGGTCCCTGGGGGAAGAGGAGTGTTCAGTTCAGACAACACCATATACCTTCAGGCTCAAATTGTCAGTTTCCTGCTGCTCAGTGTCATAGGTAGGAAAGAGAATGCTCAAGACCCAGAGTCCACTTCCCACATGAGTTAGTTGGAGCCTACACCAGGGTTTTGGACTTAGTTGCTTCTGTAACTTGTCTGGTATGAAGAAGTCCATGTGTCTCTATTTCTGCTAATTTTTCTCTCTTTTCATCTCTCCCAAGTGAGCATAGTGTCCAGTGGAGAAATTGTGCTCATGCAGTCTCCACAGTCCCTGGCTGCTTCCCAAGGAGAGAGGGTCACCATGACCTGCACAGCCAGCTCCAGTATAAGCACCAGCTACTTGCACTGGTACCAACAGAAGCTGGGGTCCTCTCCATGTCTACTGATCTATAGAACATCCACCATGGCCTCTGGAGTCCCAGAGTGCTTCAGTGGCAGTGGGTCTGGGACCTCCTACACACTCACCATCAGCAGCATGGAGGCTGAAGATGTTGCAACTTACTACTGTCAGTACTGTTGTAGCTCCCCACCCACATGGTGATACACACTGCAACAAAACCCCTTCAGCTCCTTGAGCCAGCTGCTTCCCCCTCAGAGCCTGGCAAGGTCTAGGGCAGTGTCTGCAACTGAACCTCCATCCTTTTCTGCAGTGGTGCTATGGTGAATTTTCCTCAAGGGTATTTGGCTTCTGGACAACAGGAAAGTTCAGATATGCAGCTGGGATGAGGTCCCCAGAGGGCCCAGGTTTGTGACAAGCATAGAGTTTGCTAATGATGACACAGAGCTCCTGAGTGGAGCATTGATCCTGGGGAGGAAGTTCCTGGGCTTCTGAACCACTGTGCAGGGGCCTGAAGAAACATTCCTTCCAGAGTGGTTTCCTGTCAGTGAGGAGCAACTATGGAGAGACAACCCCTTCCCAAGGACCAAGCCACTCAGCACAGAGCAACCGTGCTCCCAAGGTGAAGGACTGCGGGGTGAAGCCATTATAGCCTTTTCTTTTGGGGAATGCTGAAGTTCCATTTTGCATAATTCTGAAGAACGTGTTTCACTGTGGAAGTGGCCAGGACAGCCATCCAAGCAGGAGAAAGTGACAGAGCTCCCAAGTAATGACAGAATGGCTGTCCTCATTCTTTTTCTGTGATTAGTAACTAATCCTTCTTTGGGGTGATGATTCCATGATAAACGTGTGGAAAACACCTCCTGTCAAACAACCTGTGCACAGGAACAAAGTGTCTGAGGCAGAGACCTCAACCTCTGTACCCCACTCCATTTCCCTGAATTACAGGAAGCCTGCTTGACACCCTTTTTCACCTACAAGGTGTTGTGAAAATTTAAAATGTAATTGAATATTTCTAAAAATTGAAATAGAGAACACGGGCATCACAGAAAGAGAGTATGTTTAGTGGAAGGTCCTGGTTAGGCATGGAGACTGAGCTCTTTGGGAAAGGCACCTCTCAGTTCTCTTTCCCTTCTAAATAAGATCAGCTCACACAGTCCAATTAACTAAAGGAAGAGCATGGCCAGGATTCACCTACATGGTCTCTTCAGTGACAAAGTAAAGGGCTTTCACAAAGAGCTGTCAGTTTTGCAGGGATCCAGAAAAAATACTAAATGGTAGTGAAGATTTTGCATCTCATAGGTTGGTAAGGATCTGCACAGCCAATCACTCTCTGTGCCCTGGACATTCTGCCTATAAAACTGAGAAGTGGAATTAGGTAGTTTCTAGAATTCTTCCCTCCCAGCTGGGAAGCAGCTGGATCACACTGAGGACAGCTGTCCCTGTCCTCACAGGGCTGTGCACGTGCATTGGGTTCTCTGTCCCTGTCATTCCCAGCAATGTTGGAGGACCTATGTTTCCCTCTCACTGCTGCATTGCTGACAGCTGGCTTATTTGACACTCTCCTCCTGCTAAGGACAAGGACTCTGCATCCAGGGTTCCCCTTGCATACTCAAGTGTGGGAGGCATTGGCCCCAGCAGGCAGCCTCAACAGCATCCTGTGAAAGGGAGAGACCTCTCTGCTGCTGACCCAGGCAACACAGGGGCTGTTCCTGGAGTCCAAGGACCTCTCTGAACCAGCCATGGAACTGAAAGAAACAACACATAGGATTTTCTTTGCCTACCCATGGACAAACCCAGCTGAGCCCATTCCCTGTAAGAGCTGCCTCCATAGAGTCATTCAGCTTGGGTCCAGGTGGCTCTGATGTGCAGAAATGTGCACTGGTTTCCATTTAGATGCAGCACATGGCAGGTCTGAATACTTTAGGGCTGTCACTAAGCCAGGTTCAGAGGGCCATCCTTAATTTTCATGTGTGCATGAAATCCATGTATGTCTGCAGAGTTTGAAAGTACCCAAAATACTTTGCTTCCTCTAGGATTGAGTAGCAACACAGAGGCTGCTCCCACTGCAGATGGAGGGCAGAGGTCTTTTGTTATTTATATCAAAGAGGGAAGTGAGAACAGGTCAGAGACAGCTTTAGTAGTGAAGTTATTTTTTCTGCAAATTTTTTCTTGACTCATATAATTTGTAATTGTATATTTCAAAGGAAAAAATGCTAACTGAAGGATATTCGATGGGGAAATCATTTGGGAGAATGAAAGAGGACATTTCTAGGGGTAGCCCCTTGAGCCTTGGTGTGTTAGGTACAGGCCCTTCCAAATCTGCCCTGAGCAACTCTTGAAAATAGCAAAGGTGTGGTTCTGTCTATGTCCAAATAATGAAATTATAATACTCAAAATTCACTCTCTTACCTGACTCCGGCCTTAAAATAAGGACAGAGTCACAGGATACTGGGACACTCTACCCACACACCCTCTGAGATGGTATTCCTTGTTCTCTGCACTCTCAGCTCTCTGTGATTTCCCAGCCTCATCCCTGACCAGTCCCGGCTCCCTAGTGTCCTCTTTACTGAGGAGCAGGCCTGGGGCAGAGGTGGTGTTCTGTCAGCTCCCTGACCAGGCGGGAAGCCCACACAGCATCGTGTTATCCTGAGTCCAGGACATCTTGCAAGGTTGATATGAGTATGCAGCTGAGGAGGAGGAGGAGTGTAACAGAGGTCTGCTCAGTGACCCTCTTCTCTAGGCCCCAGCTGAATCTGCTTTGCATATCCCTCCCCAGAGAGCCCCCACCTCTCACAGGCACTATTAATGGATCCCCAGGAGAGGAGACAGGCCAGCAGGAGGGAGAGCAGGCACTCCTGGCAAGATGAGGTCCCTATCTCAGATCCTGTGCTTTCTGCTGCTCTTCATCTCAGGTGAGCAAAGGAAGGGGATGTGGTGCTCTGAGCCACCTTCCCACGGACATTGCCAGAGGGGACCCACTGAGCATGTGCCTGAGACAATCTTTCTCCAAAGGAATGGATTCCTCACCCTAAATGTTCCCTTACAATAGTGAAGTATGTATGCTTTGCCTGGGTTTAATTGATTGTATCCCTATATTGACCTTGAAAAGTCTTATGGGATTGCAGGTGTGAAAATGGGCACTGCCCTCACCCAGTCCCCAGCTCTCCTGGCTGTGTATCCTGGGGAAAGAGCCACCATCACCTGCACAAGCAACCCCAAGGAGAACTCCAAGTTTTCTTGGTACCAGCAGAAACCAGGCCAGGCCCCTAAACTCCTGGTGCATGGCACATCCACCCTGGCTTCAGGAGTCCCAGCATGGTTCAGTGGCAGTCATTTGGGAGCAAATTTTACCCTCACCATCAGCAACATGGAGACAAATGATGCTGGCACTTATTACTGTGTTGAGTGGCCAGGAGATCACAGTGACACATCCCTGAACAAAAACCCTCACAGCTGCGGAGAGAAGTGGCACCTCATGATGCATGAAGCCCAGGGTCTTGAGTGTGACTGCCGCTCCTCTGAGGCACTGTGTTTGTCCTGTCACCTGCAGAAACACCTCCCAATGGTACCCAATGATACAGCACTGCTCTTCCAGAAGAAAGGTGGTGGAGCTTGGTGACATCCCTGGAGGATTCCAGGGGGAAGGTCAGACATGGAGCATGTGCTTTGACTGAGCAGGTGCCCTTCCATAGCATGTCTGCATGGAGCCATGAGAACACATCAGACATCATGACAGAAACCTTTTCTCTCCTATGGGGAATCTGATTCCTGGAGGGAGACAGTCATAAATAATTATATTCATAACTAAGGGTAAATTCTAAGCTGAAGGTGCCCTTGAGAGAACCTGCAGCCTCACTCCACACAATGCAGGGTCAGGCACCAGAAAGAGGTTGAAAAGGAGAAAGGGGTCATGCCCTTCAACCAGAAGACCCCCAGCCCTCTCCTACTGAAGATGGAAACCACCTCCCAATATGCCTTTGACAGGAAGCCCATCATTAACTCATGGGTCTTGCGGGGACATTTATCCAAACCAAAGCTCAGATTAGAGGTTGTGTCCTGTGCCACCCAGAGGAGCAGAGCAGTGAGTTCAGCTTGTCTTGCTTCAGAATGTCTCCTCTTGTGTAAGGGACAGAAGATGAGGACCAGAGGACCTGAAATCCCAGAGTGTCTAGGTCAGACTTTTCAGAAAACAGGAGGGTCAAGTTTGTGTCACAGAAAATTTGCTGTGAGCACTGGGTACAGGATTCAGGAGTTAGGAGCCCTGGTGTCTCATCTGCTGTGCCCTCCAGACAGCACAGGTGCAGCAGGGCCACAAGCAGGAGGTTTGTGTTCAGGCCTGCACCCCTGTGGGAGCAGCACAAGTCCCTTGGATACAGTAATGCACTCCAGCGTCCTCAGCTCCTCCCTGTGGATCGTCAGTGTGAAGTCTGTCCCTGACCCGCTGCCACTGACTCTGCCTGAGACCCCAGAGACCTGTGTGGACACATACTAGGCTTTCTGGAGCCTGGCCTGGCTTCTGTACAGCCCAATAGACATAGGTGTTTCCATCACTGTGTAGGAGGCTCTGACTGGACCTGCAGGAGATGGAGGCTGGCTGTGCAGGGGTGATGGGCAGGGAGAGGGGAGTGTGGGTCAGCACAACATGCCCCCTGATCCTAAAGTAATGACATTTTAATGCAAGGTTATTTACATCATTAGCCATTTTCATGAGTTGTTTCCATGAGCTTGAATTAGTTTTTGTGTGCATTATCTTGATTCTTTCCACCCAAATGTTCAATTTCAAAACAGAAGCCAGTTAGCTAATTTCTATTTGTTCTCTAAGATTCTTCCAACTTCATTTCCCTCTTTGTCTGTCTTCACCAGAGCACAGCTCTTTAGTAAGCCTCACCTGGCCCATCTGGAGTGCAAGACCAGCACATCTCCATGTGGATTCCCAGGGCTCACCTCCCTCCCCCTTCTCCTTCCCCATCCCCTCTGGTCCTCACCAGGGATCCAGAGCAGCAGCAGCCCCAGGAGCTGAGCATGGAGCCTCATTTTGAGAAACTGAGCTGAGGAGTCCTGGTGAGTCAAGGCGAGTTTAGAGCTGAGCTTTTAACTCAGCCTTGCAGGAAGGTCCTCCCCAGGGAGCAGCATCCAAATCCCCAGGTGGGTGCTCTGGGATGGAGGATCCAATGGTGTGAGTGAACACCTGTCCTGTCAGCAAGTTAACCTGGCAGGTCCTCTCTTAAGAAGCTAACAGAAAAATTCTGGTTCTCTGAGTGGGAGAACAAACATGATTTACAGTTTCTTCCTATTTTTCCTTGGAGATTTCCAATTTTATTACTTTCCCAGGAACATATTAGTTTATTTTTTTAATAATGCCAAGTTTCCATAATCCTGTGGGAAATGTTACTTCTTTGTTCACATTAGTATGAACCATCAGGGCATGATTACTTTTAGTGACATAACACACACAGAGCAAAGAGCAGACACTTAAGTGTGAACCTGAATGGATTTCAAAGTACAGTCCTGATCCTTGAGGAGCTGCAGGAGATACCATTTCTCCTTCTGCTTCCTGCTGCCTTCTCCCATCAACAGCTTCCCAAGGTGGCTCTATACTGGATCTAGCACAACTGCTTGAGTCTTCTTGAACTTGAACTTCATGTGAAATTCAGTGTTGCCTTGTGTCCATGGCCTCTCTTGTTTTCTTACCATCTTGAATCTTTCTTGCTCCCTGTGGCCTCTAGATCTGTCTGTGGTCATTTGCTGGGGTCCTACAGGGATTCCTCTGGGGATTCAGGTTGGGCTCTCTGTTTGCCCAATGACAGCTCTTCATTTGTGCTGATTTGCCTCTATTATTAAGGTCTGTTTAGGGTTGTGGAATTCTGCTCTAACTTTCCTTTCAACATCCCTCATTCCACTGTGATTCCGTTTTCCTTGGTCACAGTGACAGTTGGCCAATTGCTTTGTGACTGTCTGCAGTGAGTCAGATTTCACTGGTTCATTTAGTGTTTTCCCCCAGTTCTCCCTTTCAGCATTTTAGCTGTAATGTGTGGTGTTAGAAATCGTATCCTGTTTACTCTGACATGTTGCTGTGATATACACATGAATCATCTGGAGGGGTCTCACTCCCTGTCCACCCAACCCATATCCACCCATATGATCACCAGCTGCCTGAATGTGCTGCTACCCTCCTGTTGGGGACACTGCAGGTCCCCTGGGCTGGGTGTGGAAGGTTGGGTCCCAGAAGACAGGCCACAGACTCCCCTACTCTTACCCTAAGCTCTAGGGCTTTAAGGGATGAACTTCTCAATCTACTTTATTCCTGAGATAATTTCGAAAGAACAGAGCCATTTTTAATGATTTTAATGATTCACATTCAGTTTTCTGCTTGTTTTCTTTGTCTGTTGTGCTCAGAGAATGCACCAAGTTGCTCGTGGCAGCAGAGCTGGCTGCACCTTCCCAAGTGAGTTTAAAGCCTGTCATTGCCTCCCTGAAGGGGACAGGCTGGGCAACTTGGCGCACCACACAAATACCTATGAGCCTGGAATTGGGCTGGGTGCAGCTGGGTGCAGAGTGCTAGGGCAGCATTTACAGGATCCGGGCTCCTTCAGCAACACCTGGATGGGAAACCAGGGTTTGGGCTCAGTGCTCTCCTGTCACAGACAAACCGAACCCCAAGCACACGCCAAATTCCAATCTGGAGATGCTTGCACTCAGAGGTGTGCATAGCAATGTCTACAAACATTCTATGTAAGTAATAGGATTGACAAATCAGTCCACACATGAGATGATGGGACAAGGACCCACGCAAACACCAGGGTTTCAGAGAGGAATTGCAGGTGGGGAAAGGAGGAAACACCAGGAGAGCGGGGGTTACTCAGAAAGGCTCCTGATCCCTCAATAGCCTAGTTAAACTTATTCTGAAATAATTTTAGATGTGGAAAATTTAAAATATAAACCCAGAAGATGGGAACGAGCGGTCAGCCAGAGGGAGGTGAAGGGCTTCTGGTATGTCCACAGCAGGGCTTCAGCCCTTACAGTCTGCTGCTTTATAAGCAGCCACAGGAAGGGAAACTGAGGCTGCAGACACAGGGCTGGGCAGGATAGGGACCTGCTGATTCCCTGAGGTGACCACTGCACACTGCACCTGTGCTCTGGCCCCACACACACTCCTCCATGACTGCACAAAGTCACTAGGTGCCAATCAGACATGAAACCATGGAAACAAATCCCCCCTGTTCTCCTCTTCAAGCTCCTCCATGCTCCCCTTTCACAAAACCACATGTGATGATGCAAAGGGACAATCAGCATGGACACAGTGCTGCTAAGGAGTCCAGTCTGGGATTACATCCCAGTGATTTTTCCCCCCACTAATGTCATTTTTATGTTCCTGGACCTAATTTCAAATTCCTTTCATTTTTGGGGGGAGGGGGCCAGGGATTAGTTGTCATGTGTCTTTATTTTCCTACCATCTGTGATGTTTTTTTTTTTTTTTTTTTGTTAGTTTGTTTGTTCTTTTCTTTCATAACCTTGTCACTTCCAAAGTGTACAGATAGGCTTTCTTTTAGAATGTCCCCTTGACCAGGTTTTTCTGTTTTTTTTTTTTTCCTATTGATCAGATTCATACTATATATGTTTATGGGAATGTTTCAGAAGGAATGCTTCTCCTCACCGCATCATATCAGGGGTTACACGTGACAAGGTGACATTACTGAGGAGGATAAACAATGTGACTGTGAAGCACTCTGTGTAAGGGAGATGAGGTCAGGAAACCTACCTGGTCACAGCTTCTGTAGCATTAGGAATAGTCTTCCTATAGCTGAGCCTGTGTTTTTAAGATTCAGTTCTGTTTGAACTTGCTCTCCAATAAAGAAGAGTGAAGGAATCAATTGTTTTCACTCAAATGACAAATTATTCCATAATGGACACTAATGGCTGAAATGGAGAAAGGAACAGAAGAATGAGCTCATTAAACCATGGGAGAGTCCACTAGAGAACAGCCATGGCTGAGTCACAGATTTGGGTAAATGAATGGACATTTCCACCACTTGGTACCTGCTGAAGTCAAATGGACAGATGGAGCAGGTACAGAGCTTCTTCCAAGCGGCTGAGGGGTGGAACTGCCCTTGGTGACACTGGGTGCACCTTATATGGAGTCACACAAGGATAACAAACCATCACTGCTGAAGAGAAATGGATGTGGCTGGTGAGCAGTCCAGGGGAGGAAGTCGAGGTCACAGGCCACACAGACACAGCTCTCCCCAGTCTTCCTCTTTGGAGATACACATTTGCTTCCTTCCATGGAGGCATCCCCCTGAGATTTAAAATATTTCATCTCCCTGAAGAATGCGTAGCTCCACATATATGGAACTTGTGTCTGGAATTCTGTGGTTTTCTTTGTTTTCAATTTCTAATTTGACCATCAACAGGATTTTGCCCTTAGATTTTTAGTGACTGAAGAAACAGAGGGGAGGTGAGAGGTTCTTCTAAAATTTAACAGCAAAGAAGAACCACCAGATATTCAAGGAAAACTAAACTTGTTAAGGGGAAGTGGCAATGTGTCTGGGACAGTGGTAAAGAGCAGAGCACTGCAGTACTACAGCATAGGGAGGGGGACACCAGTTCCTTGGAAGAGAAAATGGAGGAAGGCTAAAATGTCCCTTCTCTCATATTTGTAGCTCAGATTTACTTGAAACACTGTCTGAGACAAAGTCCTGAGCTGGCAGCCACTCCCTAAGGGTCT